TTATGCTTTATTAATAATCTGCCCCCAACACCTTATTTTCCTGGATCCGCCACTGGCCCCGCCCCGCCTATACAATGGGGCGGGTCCGGGTATTAGAATTGACCCGTGCCGCCCCGACCCGCCCTGCCCTGACCCACTCAATACATAAGTATACATACGTTTTCTAAAATTATACTACAAATATACTTCAACATACATATGTGTGTATACAATAAATCATAAATTCTTTGATCTTATAATATAATATATGAATATATATTAGAATTAGATGTGCGACGGATTATCAAAGTCTTCTTTATAAATAGAATTTTAATACATATATTCAATTATTAATATAACTAATTAGATTAACTATTCAAGTCTGAGTAATTTTTCCTTAATTTTTGAAATTTTTAGCGTATCATGAATTTGATTTATTATATTGATTTTAAATTATTATTTAGAGATAAACATTATGTAGATTCAATTGGTAACAACTTCCCACAAATAAAAATACATACTAGCTAATTAGGTTGCGGCAGGGCGGGGCGGGTCATGGGTCAACAAGTTTGGACCTGTACAGGTCACGGGGCGGGGCGGACCCGACCCGCCAAGTCACGGGGCGGGTCCGGGTCTTGCAATACCCGCCCCGCCCCGACCCATTGCCATGCCTACATGTACCTATTTGACCCTTTAGCCAACATACAAATACAATGGGGAAAAGGGACAATAAGGCCACGTACTAACAAAAAAAGGTCAAATAAGGTCTTCTTTATGAGGCTCTGTTCGGTCTTCTCCATTTGCGGTGGTTCTTGGTGGAATTTTTCGATAAAATTTTTTGAGCATCTTATTCATTAAGTCTAGTTAACTGCACAGTTATCTTCAAGAATTCATTTGAATGCCTTCCCGATTGAAGTTTTAGCTGAAATTTGGTATGAGTAAACTAGACTTACTGAATAAGATGCTCAAAAAAATTCATCAAAAAATTCCTCCGAGAACCACCCCAAATGGCGACGGCCAGACAGAACCTGTTAAATAAGGCCTTATTTGACCTTTTTTTTGTTAGTATGTGGTCTTATTTGTCCCTTTTCTCAATACAATACCATACAACTTCTACGTACAACATTTCAGTTTTCGGTTGATAATAATTTTGATTATTATCAACCATAGTGTTGTTGTGGTTAGAGTCTACCGCATTGCGGGGTTAGCGAGATGGGCAGTAAGCGTGATTCCAGCTCTGAGTCTCATCCCAGTGGAACCTTAGTTATGGCGATTTTGTATCTGGTTCTCAGTTTTATTAATATTTAAGTTATCTGTTTTCAAAAAAAATGATTATTAATATATTTAATTATCTAATAGAAAAATAAATAGATGTTCAAATTTTGACAAGTTATGTATGATGAGACAAATGTCACAATATTTTAAAATAACGACTTCTTAATAAGTAAAATAATCAAAGTAAAACATATACATAGTGTAAAATTTAATATATTATTGCGTTTATTTAAAAACAAATGTATTATTTCTTACTGAAATAAAGTTTATTTATAGAAATGAGACTAAAACAATAATTCGCTCCAAGGCTGTAACTACTTAGGGGGTTTTGGTTTGGGGTAATCTAACTAATATCGCATGAAAATCGATAAAGAATGTTAGTGTGTTCATGTTTGGTTGGTGGAGTTACATTTTGGAAAAGTTACATTTTCATGAATCTGATGTGGCAGTAATATGGAGGAGAATGTTAAACTCGTTTATGTCTTAGGAAGTGTTTATTTCGCAAAAAAAAAAGTGTCTACTTCGCTGCTAAAATGCAGTTAGGTTAATATGACTTGTGAAATAAACAAACAGGTTGCTTAAAATTGCTTACTAAGTCAAACAGGTGCTTAAAGTGTCGCTTACTAAAAATATCATCTCTCATGTATTAATTAAGCGGCACTTTAACCTTTTTTACAGTTTCCATGTTTACTCTTATCCTTTACTCTTACCCCTTTCCCTCATAGGTATGGGTAGGTGTACGAGTGGGGGTCAGGGTAAGGGGTAAGGTGGGGTAGGGGTGGTAGGCGGTAAGGGGTAGGCCCTAACGTATTATATATATTTGTGTGTACATGAACATTTGTGCGTCTATATGTATTAAGTTATTTTAGACATTTTAATGTAAAACGGTTTTTAAATCATGTGAAGTAAACATGAGCATATAACACTGCTTATTTTAGGAGGCGCTTATTAACGCAAGTCTTAATAAGCACCGCTTAGTAACCCGTGAAGTAAATAGTCCTTATGGTATCTGATGACATTTCCGGGGATATCTTAATTTTCTTCCAAAATTGTCTCTTTTCAATTAATTTCTTTTTGACTCTTCCATCTTTAATTCAGAGCTTATATATTTCTCACCATATTTTCCTCTCCATCTCATGACAATAGACTTTTAATACTACAACACCTTTGTCCCACTTAAAGATTCTCGTCTACTATTATCCGGTCGATTTAATTGTTCTTAATCTTTTACTTTATATATCCAACTTTTAGTAGAATTGATTTTTTGCGAATTTATAGAACTTTTAATGTTACTTTTCAACATAGAAATTTATTTGCTAGAAATAAACTTATTGTTGAGGTTTATTCCTTCAACCCTCGGGTGTAACACGTAAGCCCAAGAGTTTCGAGTGGAGTGTGTATGAATAATCTAGCCCAACTAACAAGTTAAATGGATTAAGAAACAGTAAGTAGCCAGTAAGAGATTAGGTATTATTAATCAGTTAATAACTCCCCAATACAATACTTTAGCTATGGCTCGTCGGCCGTTCGTCTTACAAGGCAATAGAAGAGCTGTGAGTAAGAATGTTATAAGCTAGAGTGCTAAGAATAGTAAGTTGCAACCCTTTACAATGAAATAAATGTTGTTATTTATACTACCAATGGGCAGTTGGCTACGCTGACGTGGAGGACTGTGAGTGGCTGCTGCCCCAACCACCAAATCTCCAGCATTAAATGCGCTTCCTGCCAGGATCTGGGCTTCCCACCTAATTGGTGGGGACGTTCATCCAGTTTGGGGAAGGTGGACTGCTCCTGGTGATACCGCAAAGGGTATCGGGCCGTTCGTATTCTGGCCCTTAGAGGTCTTGCCACATGGATTGGTTTGTCATCAAGTGGCTATGTGCTTGAACTGGCGACGTTCGTCGTCGTCATAATGGCTCGTGGGCCTGATTCGCTATCGTGTGTGTGGATGTTCGTCGGAATGGGCTGGTGAGCCAAGGTGTTGGACTCGACGTTCGTCTTCACCATATCGCATGTTAGCTTAGCCCACCTAATGTCCTGTCTAGACGTCCGTCTGAATGAGGGGGTAAATGGGCCGACCCCCTGCTTGGGCCATTAACCCAACACAAGTCCCCCACTTCTGATGTTCTGAGCGTGCGTAGGACATAAGGAAGTATGGTGCTCCTCAGGGGTAAAACGCTCATGACATGGTACTTATGCTTGCCATGTTTTTGGGAAAGTGGACGTTCCTTGCCATGGCGCTTATTAACTGGCGCCGGTTCAGGAATCGAGGTGACAGCTGTAGTTGTAATGGTACATTTTCCGAGGAAGGGTCATCATTATACTTCCATTCCACGCGCAGCGCGTGCGCTTGGGTACGCTCCTCGCTACGTGTCATTTCCTCATTAGCCCCCGAATCGGTGCTTCTCTTATAAATACCGGGGTTTCCCTTAGGATTAGGGTTCCCGATTTCTGTCCTCTCGCTCTAGAATCTCTGCTGCTCGGTGCTCAGTTCGTCCACAAGGCCCTTAGCTTGTTTCCGCTGATCCAAGGTATTTTAGGCTCTATTCTCCCTTTTTTGTAATTTTTTTCTGACCCTCTCAGTGACCTCCATGGAAATCTCATCGGATTCCGGTTCTAGTTCCTCGGGCTCTTCCTCGGGTTCCTCTTCCGACTCCGGTTCCGGCTCGGGCTCCGGTTCATCCCCACGTTCCTCCAACAAGGCTAGCGTTTCTGGCAGCTCTGGTTTGGCTTCGACTGTGGGGACCATTCAGGAAGATGGGGCTCCCAATGACGCCGCCGTCGCGAATGTCGGAGAGGATGCCGCATTTGCAGGACAGGGGGACAACATGGTCGTCGAGGTGGTGGAACATGTGGACAATGCCGCAGATCCAAACTTGGCCGAAGACGCCGATCGTCCAGAAGATTACGATTCGGGGTCCGAGGCCAGAGATGGATCTGGCGTGGAGGTGTTTGATATGGGGCTAAAAATAGATGTGGATCGTCGTATCTGCCCGATCAAGAACGTGTTGGGCCATGAGCAAACCTTCTCAGCCGTAGCCCTCAATAAGCTCAAAATATACTTCCCTCCTCCGTTTGTCTACAGCCTCCGAGGCGCATCCCATATGATGAGGAGACGTCCGGGGATGATCATGGTGCACTTGGACTCCATTGAGGCCGAGCTGCGGTTCCCCCTTCACCCATTCTATGTGGAGTTCTTCTGCTGTTTCCAGGTGACCCCTGCACAATTCATGCCTAATTCCTACCGGTTTATCTCTGCGTTCCTCGTCCGTTGCAAAGTCAGGGGGGTTACCGCCACCTTGGAACTGTTCCATTACTTTTTTCGGCTCACCCCTCAAAATTTTGATGGTTTTCTGAGTATTGTCGCACGTTCGAAACGAAGACTCTTCAGTGGGGCACCGAGTTCAATCCACGGTTGGAAAAACCGGTTCTTCTTTGTGAAGTATGAGGACGCTCGTCTGCCCTTGCGATGGAACGGCTATCCACCCAAGATGGGGTCACCGGATCTGGCCGACGATCTAGAGGAGGATATCAAGAAAATCTCGACGGGCGGCGTTCGACCCTTAGATGATTTCCTCACCTTCTCAGCGCTTGCCGCAGCAGGAATAGGTACCGCCCGTGTCTCTGGACTCTCAATCCCCCCCTACGCTCGTCTCGGGGCACCGGGCGGTCCTGTCCGCTGAGGTGAGTGTTCTTAGTTTTATCCTTTGTTTAGTTTCTAACGTCTTGTGTCCTCTTTGTTTCAGGTCTGCCCCCTACTCAAGCCCAGATGAATCACGACAAGCTTTTGAAAAATAGGAAGGGCAAGGGAGCGGCCGCCGATGCTGCTCTTGCTAAGGCCAAGGCTGTCCAAGCTGCTAATTCCAATTCCTCCGCCTCTCAGGCCGATCGGCGTACGGTTGAGGCAGAGCAGCATCTAATTGCCACGGTGATGGCACAAGGGTCCCAGGCCCCAAATGTTGAATCTGACATCCCCGAGGTGGTAGCGCCTCTGCAAACAGTCCATCCTCAGGGCGGGGAGAAGGCGAAGGATGAGAAGGCGAAGAGGCCTCGGGGAGCTGGCTCTTCAGCCCCCGTGGATCAAGAAACGGTCCTTCCTCCCCTGGGATGTCCGGCCCATGATGTCTAGCAGGAAATTGCTTCCTTGGCCAGGGTGGAAATGCCTCCCCGGACGTCTACGGAAGCTTCCAATGCAGCTCTGTCTGCCGCTCTTCAGGTAAAACTCTGCCTTATGCCAAATAGCTTATTACGGTTTTTCGGAGATTTGTAGCCTTACGTTCGTGTTCAATTTTTGTAGGTCGGGCTCTCCATGCTGCAAGCTGAAGCCGCCAGGGATGCTGACGCTCTTCAGGTCAAGAACAAGGCAGACGCAGCCCTGAAGTAAGCGCGGGAGGCTGCTCGCCTCCAGGAAAAGGAGGAAGCTGCCAAGGAGAAGGAGCAACAGGCCGCCCTGAAGGCGGCTCGAGAGTCAGCTGAGCAGGTTGCTGCTTACGAGAAGGCCGAGTTCAAGCTCGTCCCGGTTCTTCCTGCCCCCGAGGACGAGGCCCCTGAATGGCTCGTCGACGCCTCTGGGTACGAGAGTTCCTTGGCCTTCATGGTCGCGACCTAGAGGTACTGCAGGGGGGCATTTGGCGATGTATTCTCGGCCGAGCTGGAGAAGCAGAAGCCGAAGGATCGCCTCAAATTCGGGGTCCAGGTCCTGGAGAGTGCTCGCTTGTCGGAGCAGTTCCTGTATGACGTTGGGGATAGTTCCTTCGTCATCGGCTACAACGAGGGGGTGAAGGCTACTCTGCATGTCTCCGCTGTTCTGCAGGGGCCTGGCTTCAATCTGGCCCAACATACTAATGATGCTGAGCTGATCCGGGCTTTGGGCAAACTGGAGCGGGATGTCCGTCGAGAAGAGGCTAAGGCCAGAGGGGAGGTTCCGGAGCCGCCGACCCCTGAACCTGAAATTGAAGAGGAGGAGACCGTCCCTGGTGGATCCCGGCCGGTTTCCCCCAATTTCATTTGATGTAATTGTAATACCTTTTGCTTCGACTTGTAATATCCGGCCATTAGAGCTGAAGAATACACAACCCTTTTGCCCCATGATTGTTTCTACGTTCGTGCCCCTTTACTTTGTCATTTCTTTCTTTCTGATGCTTTGTGCGAGACCTTATCCGGGGTTCTGCATAGTTTCTTCCTTGGTAGCGCGAAAAGATGATCCTTAATGCCATCCTTAATCAAGTCCATGGGGACGACCGTACTTGTCTTACATTCTCGCCCGAGTTTGATGTTCGTCGAAGGTTGAGTTCGCCGCCACTCATCATGTTTCTGCAAAGTGTGCATATACGAGCTTTATTCTTTCTGTGCGCATTCTTAGTAGAGACGTCCGTCCCCCCTGAATTCGTGTCTTTTCGTGCCAGGCGCTAAGGTCAGAATCTCATCGGGACGTTCGTCCACCTAGTCCGCTTGTTTTCTTCCCAAGTGTTTGGAGACGAACGTGCCTTAGTGACCTGTGGAAACTCTCGAGGTAGGAGAGCCCACTCTTCTTCTTACATCCCTCGGGCGCGTGGTGTGTCCCTGGTGGTGCGCACCGGTCCACTCTTCCCCGTGGGACGTTCATCGTCCTACCTTTAAGGTGGGGCCTGAGGTCCCTTTTTTTTTCCTTTTCAAAAGTAGGCGCCAAAATCGAGGTGCCTTTATTACCGCGGAATGTACCAGTATTTGGGCGCCACGTGTCTACCTGTGGTTGGCGCAGTCCCGCGGTGCTGTCTATAAGTACCCAAAACCTCGCGGATTAACTTACTTGCTTCTTCTCTGGTCCTTACGTTGTGCAATTGGCTTCTCTCTCTAGCCATTTTTCGCACTGCATCGAGCTTCGAGACCCGCAGGCACCGAACGTCGTCATGTCTTCGTCTAGGTTGGAGTCCCAAATTACTGATTCAAGGACCCGAATCAGCTCATCGTCCACCGGGGATCGGTTTGACGATGGGTGCTCCTCAGGTGATGACCCGGAGTTCTATGAATGGGGTATGCCACCTCGGCCTCCCCGTCTTCACCTCAATTTTTCTGGCGTTCATCGTCAGCGTCTATTGAACGCGGATCGGCGGGTGATTAGCCAATGGTTCTACCCTCTAAGGGTTTGTGACGATCGTCGTCTGTGCAATCCGATGCGCCATTTGCCCGGCCATGTGGTGGTCCATTTAGATTCCGTTATAGCCGGCCTTTTCTTCCCCCTGCATTCCTTCCATCTAGAACTCTTCAGGAGCCTTAGGATAACACCCGCGCAGCTCGCCCCTGCTGCCTATAGGATTATCGCGGGTTTCATCATCAGATGCCACAGTGTCGGCGTGGTTCCCACTGTGGACCTGCTGCATCATTTTTTTTCGGTTGTCCCCGTTCGGACGTACGAGGTACTTGACCCTGATTGCTCGTCCGTCCATGGCCTTGTTTTCAAATAATGCCGGGAATCCGGACGGCTGGGAGGAGAGGTTCTTTTTGGCTGGAGTAGGCTCCCCCATGCCATTTTTTGATAGATGGAATGCCTATCCGGTGAAGTCCATCCCACCTCCCATGACGGATGAGGAACTGGGATATGCCAGGCGCATAGCTGGCCTTGGCATCCAGAATCTCCGGTTGTTGGTGGCCGAGCCCTTCATAGCTCGAGCCGGATTAGGTGCGTCCATTTGTACTTGCATTGTTCTATCATCTTCCCGTTGTTATGGTTCTGAACGTCTTGGTTTATTTTCTGCAGGAGTGTTCCCATCTTCATCCTTTATGGAACGTTCCGCCGAGATCCCTGTCCTTTCAGGCCGTGAAGGCAAAGATCAGGACAAGGGCAGGAAGCCGCTCGTCCCCAAGGTCGAATCTCGGGTGACGAGACCGCGGACCGAGGAGGCCTCAGGAGCTAGTGCTTTGAAGAGGCCCCGACTTGATGGTACTGCTTCCAAGGCCATCATCGTGGCCGATGATTCCGATGGTGAGCCCGGGAGTCCCCTGAAGAGGAGACATACTTCAAGGAGCAAGCCCCATCCTTCTCCGTCAAGGAATTCTGACGTTCGTCGTCTTAGGGACGAGGACGTCCAAGTTGATGACGCTCGTCCTTCTTCACCACCAGAAACTAGCAAGTCCTCTCTCGGCCTTATTGAATTCTCCGGGGTTGGCCCTCGCAAGGAGTCCATGATGCTATTTGGTCAGACGGCCTCTTCCATCTGGTGTGGCCTAAATCTTAAGGTTCCCCAAGACTTTGCCGCTCAGGAGGCCCCGGAGGATCTTCTTGAATGTGGACAGAGCACCTTGGATAAGGCTGGGCTCTACTTCCATAAGGCTCGGATGGCCTTCGAGTAGCAAGGCAAGGAAATGGCCGCAGTGCGGGCCGAGTGTGATGCCCTGCTTAAGAACGCTCGGGGCAAGGTTGGGACCCTCCAAGAGAAAGCAGAGGCCTATGACAAGCTGGTCCAGGAGAATGCTTCTCAGAAGGAACTCCTTAGGAAGCAGGAGGCCGAGCTGGTGGATCTGCGCAGCCGTATGTGGGCGGTTTCTCACGCTGGGGTGGACGTTCGTCGCACGGGCATTGACAACCACGTCCCCATATATGAGGCCGATGTATCGAAGATCAATGAGTCTGGTTCCATTGAATTTCAGAAGTCCAAAGCCTACACTGGCGCCGTGCAGAGTATGGCTAGGAAATTTCTTCCGAGGTTCGTCGGGGAATACCTCGCTGTTTGCCCGGATCCTTATTTGGATGGCATTAAGCTATTGCAGGCTACTCCCACTGGGGAGCGTTTCCTCGACGATCTTGCTGATGATACCTACCTTTAAGGTATGATCGCCCTTGTGGCTGAGAATCTTCCAGTCTTTGAGCGTCATTTCGGGGCTCCCTTTGATCCGGTGGCCGCTGGCTTTGATTCACTAATGGTGGATGCTTATAAGGGGGCCCTAGAGCTGCTTAAGGAGCGTAAGGAGCAGGAAGAGGCCGAGGCTAAGGAAAAGGCTAAGCAGATTCCCTTCAAGGTTCCTACTCCGGACGCTGACCAGAACTGATGTTCCGCTCGTTGTCTTGTACTTGTATCATTTTTCTCATTGTTTACATTGTACTTTGTATTTGTAATGTCCGGCCATCAGTGCCGAAGAATAAAATCATTCTTTGCTCCATGTTCGTCTAGTTTTTTTTTTGGAGTCTTCTTGTCTTCGTTCAACCCACGCTCGTGATCTTACTTGTCTCCTGCCCAGGCAGAAGACGTTCGCCATCTACGAGTAAGGGGAAGAACTGGTTTACCCCGCCAGGGTTCCCTTTCTTCGTTCAACCCACGCTCGTGATCTTATACACTACAATAAAATTGATTTATAGAGGCATCTCATATTTGCCTCAAAAAATAGGAAATTAGCCTCTAATGCTCTTTTGGGGCAATTTGGTGGTTGCCAACAAAAAGTCTGTCGCTAAATGTCGTTTGCCTCTAAAAACCCTTTTAGGGGAAATAAAAGATATGCTTCTAAAAAAACACATTTAGAGGCAACCATACACATTTGCCTCAAAAAGACATTAGAGGCAATCGTTCATATTGTCTCATAATACAATTAGAGTCAATCGTCTGGAATGACTGAAAATGTTTTTAAAGGCTATATATTTTGTACTGCAATACTGCTAGTAGAATGTTTTGAGGCAACGTTTAATGTTGTGGAAGCTTTTTAGAGGCAGTCATATGCCCATGTTTAAATAAAAAATCCATTTTGTCTCATAGAAGCAGCATTACGTATTACTAGTAGTATGTTTTTAGACATAAAATACATTAAATGTAATAAAAGTCATCACTAAAGTATAATCTGCTTCATAGTATAATAAAGTAAAAATAGAGTGCACTTGAATAACTAAATAAATTTATTACATGAACAATGTGTTCAAACTGAATTACTAATACACAAGAATACCTCAGTAATCTCTATGAAAGAAACTGACTAAAGTTAATTTGCAACTATTCTAAAACATTAAGATGGACCAGAATAGATCTAATTTAAAAATGGTGCTCTAGAGAGAATTCTTCTTCACCATCACTAGCATCATCAACATTGTAGCCTCATCGTTGTCACCGTCTTAAGAAATATCTGCAAATATTATAGTCATATATTTGCAGCTATTTGATAACCAATCTGCAAAAACCTGCCAGTAGTGTAACTATAATATTTGCAGTAGTAAAGACAAAAACATGGTATATGTTTGTTTGTTGTATATTGAACCTGCGGGTATAAACAATCATGCTATACCTGGAATAATCAGTGGTATATATAACAAAAACTAGTATAATCTGCATGACCAGATAACAACATGCATGTATAAACAATTTGTAGCCAATATATATTCATATGTAGCCGAACAAATGAGGGGTTAAACATGAAGGTTCATAATTAATACGTATATTCTTAATTTAGATTTTTACATAGAAACAAAATTAATTCAAATGCTCAAATTATGTCCATATAAGCCAAACACTCAGAGCA